AATTCAGCTATTAAAGGAACCACAAGCAGCTCTTTGCTCCAGAACGTTGATTGGATTCTATGTGGTGGATTTTAAGGGTAGCTAGGTGGCACAGTGGATAGAGTACTGGGCTTTGAGTCAAGAAGACCCAAGTTCAAATCCAGACTCAGATACTCACTGGTTGTGTGACCCTAGACAAGTCACTTAACCCTGTTTGCCTCAGTTTCCTCATCTGTAAAATGAGCTGGAGAAGGGAATGAAATGGCAAACTGCTCCAGGATCTTTGCCAAGAAAACCCTAACCGGGATCACGATTGAACAATAACAAATTTCTTTTCTGATATTTGATAGTCTTTCTTTTGTTAATGTTAGTATTTTATATTTTTCTAAGTATTCATATATTTTTAATACTCATCAGTTTTGTTAGCATATATCTGGGCAAAAGTTTCTGATAACTTCACTTGTTTCCTCTTCAACTGCTATAAATTCCTTCTCATTTTTGAAACAAACAGGGCTTTCTGCTCCTTATTTTAAATTAGTTTTAAATGTCTATGGGATTTTCTTGGCAAAGATATTGGAGTAGTTTGCCATTTCCTTCACCAGTGGATTATGGCAAACAGAAACTAAATGATTTGCCCAGGGTTACACAGCTAGTAAGTATCTGAGGCTGGATTTGAACACTAATCTTCCTGACTTGAGGCCCAGCACTCTATCCACTGAGCCAACTAGCTGCCTCTAATCTCTTCTTTAATTATAAGAATTTCTTTTTTTTTTCTTTCTTTCTCTTTTTTTTGGTAAGGCAATTGGGGTTAAGTGACTTGCCCAGAGTCACACAGCTAGTTAGTGTTATGTGTCTGAGGCTGAATTTGAACTCAGGTCCTCTTGACTCCAGGGCCTGTGCTCTATCCACTGCATCACCTAGCTGCCTCAATTACAAGAGTTTTTACTTTTTGATTTCTTGCTGTTCTGGTTTTGAAAGGGCAGGGTCAATTCACTGATTTGCTTTTTTTTTTTTTGGTTGATGATATAAATTTTCATTTCACAACTGCTTTTAGATACATTTTCCCCTTAGAATTGCACAACACAAGTTTTGGTATATTATCCCATTATTGTCATTTTCTTTAATGACATTTTCTATTGTTTCTATAATTTGTTCCTTGACCCACCAGTTCTTTAGAATTTTTATTTAGTCTCCAATTATGTTTTAACTTCTCATTTAAGGACCATTTACTGATTAGTGGTTTTATTGCACTGTGATCAGCAAATAACGTGTTTTTTATTTATGTTCTTCCTCCTCATCTCTGCCTCATGGCTTCCCTAGCTGCCTTCAAATTTCAGCTAAAATCCTCCTTCCACAGGAAGTCTTTCCCAATCCCTCTTAATTCTAGTGCCTTCCCTCCTTTGATTATTTCTTATTTATCCTGCATATAGCTTCTTTCTAAACAGTTGTTTGTTTGTTGTCTCCTGCGTTAGACTATGAGCTCAAGGACAGAGAACTTATCTTTTGCCTTTTTTTGTATTGCTGGCACTTACAAAGTACCTGGCACGCTGTTAGTGCTTAAAGTGCTATTTTTCTGATTTTCTATACTTTTTTAGTGAGGTTGTTATGCCCCATGGTCATACTGGTAAAGCTTCTGTGTGCAGTACAGGGATATGTAAAGTCCCTTCTATTTCCATTTGGTAGTTGCCAAAGAGCTTGAATTTTTCCAAATTGTATTCTTGTCTTTAATATTTTTCTTATTTCTTAGTTATCTAGGTCTGAAAGGGGCATATTAAGGTCCTCAAAAATTAAAATTTTAATATCTATTTCTCTAATTTGATTAATTCAACCAACTTCCCATTGCTCCATGGATCTAGCTCACTAACCTGAACTTGGGCTGCAACAAAGCCCTTTTCAAGGAGAAGCAAGTTATAATCTCAACTTTTCCTACCTCTCAGCCAAAGCCCTGGTCCTTTTAATCTGTTCATATCACTTCCGTACATGTCTAGGTTCCTCCATTTCCACTTCTAATTAGATATGCCCTCTCTCCTAGGATGCTTTTACTTTGAAATCTCAGTCCAACTTTTAATTCCACCCTTAGAATCATACAATCTTTGAGCTGGAAGGGACTTCACAGATATCTAAGTAACATCTGATGCAAGGGTCATCCAGCTTCTACTTGAATATATTCCATTATACTTTTGAAGAGCTCTAATTTTTCAGACAGTTATTCTTTACATCGGGGTGAAGTCAGCCTCTGTAAATTCCTGCTCCCACTTCCTCCTGGTTCTTCTCATCATGGCCAAAGGGAGTCAGTCTAATACACATGACAGATAGCCCTTTGAATACCCGAAGACACTGATGTCCTCCCCAAGTATTCTCTTCTCAAAAACTAAACAGCCTTAGTTCTCTCACCTGTGTTCTATAGGCTACTTATGTCCTGGTTACATTCTCATTGATATCACTCTGATTTCTACCCCACTTCTTGAAGCATTTCCCCTGAATTAGATGCAAAAATTATAAGAGCTATTTGTGTTTGGTTTAATATGTTTTTGCATTGTGCCCATATATAGCTGTGACTGTTGATTTCCCAGAGGGTGTAAAGAGTCCTTCTTGCACACTAACCTCAAGAATGAAGTCTGTGGAATATATTAAACTGCATAACTACAAAAGGGCAAAGGATGAAGCTTCCCATGTGAGCAGACCCTCAGAATTCACTTACCCTGATCTGTGGCAACAAGTTTTGTTCGTATTGAGTTCACTGTAAATGGAAATAGTCCAAGTAATGTTGTTTTTTTTTTGGGTAGGCAATGGGGTTAAGTGACTTGCCCAGGGTCACACAGCTAGTTAGTGTTATGTGTCTGAGGCTGAATTTGAACTCAGTTCCTCCTGAATCCAGAACCGGTGCTTTATCCACTGCGCCACCTACCTACCCCCCAAGTAACTTTTGAAAGAAGCCCCTGATTCCATCTACCCACTCCACCCCCAAAGATCCTGGTAATCTTTTTTCATCCTCCAGCCTTCTGCATCACAACCACTGCCTTATTTTGGTGGGCATACAAAGAGCTAGTAGAAGCCAAAAAAACCCAAAAAATTTTGAAAGAGGAGAGATTTCTGTATCTAAGATCATTAGTAAAAGATATATAGATTCTTCAGGTAGTGGGCAGACCAAATGCCAGAAAATGAGTAGTCTCAGATAACACAAATAGAAACCTATTCTGCCAATTCTAAGCCCTATCTCTGTACCACTCTAGCCATCCATCTCAGGATTGTCCTATGGGACTATCCTATGCTCCGTTACAATGCTTTAAAGTCTACTATGGTAAACTACAACATCCAGCTGTGTTCCTGTAATACAGAGAGTGTAAGTGTGTAAGGAGGACATTCCTACCAAAAGCCATACCCACACAAAGCCCAAGAAATGCTCAGGGTATGCCACGAAGTTTCCCGGTATTAAAAATCTAACCCAATCTCTTAAAAAGTTCATCATTTTCTGAGTAACTTAAGTATTAACTTGCTTAACATGTATATGAGTTGGTAAAAAAGAAGATACTCCACCTGGCATCTCACATTAGAAGGATCAAATAAAAGATGTTTAGAACCACAGTGTGAGACGACCTTAGGAGCTGGCATGCAGGAGTGAAGGACATGCCAATCATTCATATCACAATGGTGATGTGGTACATACACAACAGAGAGGCAGGTAGGTAGGCAGGCAGCTATGCATACTGGCACCCACTCCAGCACAGCACGCTGCAAACAGCACACAGACAATATCCTTTTTGAAATGGTCCACATAAGCATATGAGGGACTTGTTTGTTTGTTTGTTTGTTTTGAAGTCCAGAATTCATGTTTGCTCATTCTAAGGCCAAGTTAAGTATTCGGTAGTTCCCCAACAGAAACTATTTCCCGAAAGTGCTTATCTACACCCTGTCTATCGATATATATCTGTAAAAAGGCCCACTATGAAAATAAAGGGCTATATCTGTATGACCAAGGTCAGTATGCTTCAAGATGATATACAACAGGTTTATCTGGCTTTCCCAAGGAGACGATGACCTTTGGCCCTGAAGCCCACCTATGGCAGATGCTAGAAGTCTCTGATTCCCCCAAAGGTAAGCCAGAGTTGTGTTAGCTGGGATGAAGGGAAGCTCCCAATGCAGCAGATAAGCCAACAGTGTGGTCTAGACATATGCCTTAGAAGAGCCCTATGCATGAGACTTATTTGGCCCTCCTGACATTCTACCAGTCAAATGAGAATGATTATGAATAAGAGTGACAAACTAACCTCAAAAAAGAGACCACAGTGCAGGCTACTCGTTCCCCAGCCTGGGAATGAGAGGTTCCCTGGTGATGACTATTTTAGTCTCCTAGCAGGTCTTTCGGCTTCAGAGAAGCAGTTAACGTTCTTCTTTTCCCTGGGGTTAATTCTCCTAGGACCTTTCCTACTTCATTCATGGGAACCTTGGAAGCAACTGAGTCTGTTTTACGGAAATCTGGACCACAAGGTAGTCTCAGAGCTGCCTTTAGGAAAGGCCTATAGCTCAGGAAAAAATAGCAATTGTGAAAGAAATATCAAGAAATACACCACTGCAGGATGAGGCACACTCAGTCACTTTATAAAGTTACACTTCAGACCAATGACTGCCACCTCTGGGCTAGGCAACACCCTAGAATTTCTTAAATTATTTCATGGGGTATTACAAAATTCATTAAAGTTAATTTAAAAAGATTTTAAATTAAGATTGTCATTTTAACTAAAATAAAATTCAATTTGAACTGACTCTCATATTTGAGGAGGAATTGCCAAGAAGTCAGATAATCCCAGTAATGTCCCCTAGGGGAGGGAGGCAACCAGCATGGTGTCCCATCTGTGTGGACCATCAATGCAGATATTGTCCAAAGGATATTCAGCTACCAAGACAAGATTTACACATAGCATTAGTAGCCACAAAGCACAGACAAGCCAGCTAAAGAAGCCACAAATGAGACTGAGACCACACTGTCCTAGCATCAGCTGAGCACAGCTGTGAGGTCTTACCCCTGCTAGGCATCAAAAGGCGTTTCTTCATGTTGCCTGACAAAGCACAGGTAAACAGAAAAGAGAAAAAAATACCACATCAACAATCCCAACAATGACACTGAATTTAACAAGTATAATTCACAGAGACAGCAGGGATTAAGGCCAGGGTTCCTAATACTGGACATGTTGGCTTATAGCCAACATACTCAAGATGGCGTAAAAAGGGCCTTGGCCACAGTCATAGATTTGATCACTTTAAATGTATCCAAGGGCATTCCAAGGAAGCAATGATTTTTCTGCCTGTCTCTAGTAATCAGACCTTGTTTATACCTGCTCAGAGAGGCTAAAGGCCTTCCCTCCTGTGCGTCACATGTAACATATAACTCCCAGAAAAACTGAGAAGGAGTGCAGATGGTCCAAAGGTGGCATTTAACCCAATGGGTATCAATCCCCAGAGCTTCTCCTCAAGAGATAAACCTTGTTTATCTATTTCTGACACTCTACAAGAGAGTGACAATCATAATGATAAACAATACAGTTATTCAGCTTGAACTTCATGAAGCACTTTCATATTAAGTTTCTCATTTAATCCTCACAGAAATTCTTGGCACAGTAGGTAGGGTGCTGGACCTGTAGTTTGGAAGACCTGACTGAGTTCATATCCAGCTATTAGTCAGATACTAGCTGTGACCCTGGTCAAGTAACTTAACCTCTGCTTGCTTCAGTTTCCTGAACTGTAAAATGAAGATAATAATAGTGTCTACCTAACAGGATTATTGTAAGGATCAAATGAGATAATACTGGTAAAATGCACTTAGCACAGTACCTGGCACACAGTAGAGAGTATATGCCTATTCTCTTCCTCCCTCCCTTTCCTGACAGAACAGGTATTTTTTTCTATCACTATTTGACTGAGAAGGAAAATGAGCCAATTCACACAGTAGTGAATTAACTTGTCTAGCATTAAAATAAGGTTACAGACCAACTGAGATATAGTCCATGGCAAAAGTTTTAACCTTTTGGTATCAACCATTTGGCATCTGGTGAAGAATGTTTTTAAAGGAATGAAATAAAATATAAAGGATTGTAAATAAAACCAATCTGAAAGACTGTCAAAAACTCTGTGTGTGTGTGTGTGCGTGCGTGCGTGCGTGTGTGTGTGTGTGTGTTTTCACAGACCCCACAATAAGAACCCCTGCTCTGGGCCAAATGATGTGTGATAACACTTGCATGATACTCTCAAAGTCCCAAAGAGGAGGGAGGGATCTCTTTCCATTCACAATCACCGTGAAAAGAAAGAAGAAAGTGATGCTTATCTCACTCCTCAGCCCAGCAATAAAGTCATTAACCAAAATAAAAGCAAACTAAGACAGGAAAGCAATCCCTACATAAACGTCCTCAAGGCCCAAGGGACCAATTGACGCCTTTAAAATCATACAGATATACCTACCATCCATGCCATTGTGCTGTTCATAACTCCTCTTGCCCAGGATGGTTGGGGACCCATTATTAATGACTGGAGTTGACTTGGCAGGAGTAAGGTTGTTGAGAGAACTAGACACACTCTTTATGGGGTCTGGCTTTGGAGGGCGGGGATGAGTCTCTGTGGATAAAAAGCACAAAACAGTTTACTAAACGACTCACAGATGGTAAATTCCAAATTCATACCCAACCACCTAGATGGAGGATACAAATTTCACACTAAAAATGGAGAAAAGGCAGTTTATATATTGGAATCTCACAGATATTTTGTGTTACATATTTGTAATATGGGGATCTGTCATTAGTTTATTCAAGATAGTAAGCTTATCAGGTATAATTGTAGTCATCACATCACAACTTGCTAGGTATTTGGGAAGTGCTAAATTTTTGCAGCTTGTCATGATGCATTGCATAGTCCCCTTCTTCCCTCCATTTCCTTGCATAAGTCATCTAGAAAGTCATCTGGATTTCTTTGTGATAATCATTACATAGTTTCTGGGACCAATGGTCCTGAATCACTATCATAACTCCTCCATTTCCACAAACAAAATTGCAAGATTCAGCCATTCTTTTGATGCTTCTTTGTTGACATAATGTTGGATGATTAGATGTGACCCAAGAAAGGTCTTTTGAGTCTACTCTTAGATCTTAGCTTCTTTATTATAGTAAACCATTTTCAGCTACATTCAGTAAATCCAAAGGTAAAAACCTATTTAGCAGCCTTCAGTATTACTATGTGCAACGTCTGCTTGTTCCAAAAGTATTTTGTTGGTTTCTAACCCATTTATCACGTGCTCTAATAACAACTCTCTTTCTTCTTTTTGATAAAAAAAGTAAGCCTTTCTAAAACTGCCTTAGAGTGATGAATCCTGTGTCGTCGTCTTATTATGAGTTTTTGTGAGAATTCTTTCCAAAATCTGCTATGGTCCATTTTGTAAGACCAAAAATGTACACTGTTACTGCATAAATGTATACTTTTAAATGTGTTCCTGCCTCTCAGTATGGATTTCAGGATGCCAGTAATTCTCTAAATGTATTCAATCACAGCATTATTTCATATCTTTATGTTCCATGTGTCTTGCCTGAAGGAAACTCAAGTTATCTTACAGGTATCACTTCATTCATTGCTTCAACATAACCCCTGGAATCAAACTTGAAAACTTTCACCTCTGTCTATCCTTGGCACGTTTTAAGAATTTACACTTGTGAAGTCCAAATGAATTTTTATATCATAAAAGAAAGATAAGTCCTAGAGTACGGGTGGGGAACCTGCGGCCTCGAGGCCACATGAGGCCCTCTAGGTCCTCAAGTGTGGCCCTTTGACTGAAACCAAACTTCAAAGAACAAATCCCTTTAATAAAAGAATTTGTTCTATAAAACTTGGACTCAGTCAAAAGGCTGCACCCAAGGACCTAGAAGGCCACATGTGGCCTCAAGGCTGCAGGTTCCCCACCCCTACTCTAGGACTTACCCTTCTCTTATGATATAAAAACTCATTTGGACTTCACAAGTGTAAATTCTTAAAATATGCCAAGGATAGACAGAGGTAGAAGTTTTCAAGTTTGATTCCAGGGGTTATGTTGAAGCACTGAATGAAATGATAGTAGAACTAGGACCACCAACAGAAAGAAGTTATAGAAGTAGACTGAACAATCAAATACATCCAAAAGTAGAATAAACTACCTTAAGAGGTAGGGGTTATCTCCCTTACTAGGTCTTCAAGCAAATGCTGGATGACAACTTAAGAGTGACACTTATGTTTTTCATCCAGTAATATTTTTTTAAGCCTAAAGTTTCTATTTAACTTCGGAATACCCTGAGACTGGTGATCTTCAAAGTAGGAACTTCTCCAAAGAGGACATGAGCTAATCCTAAGGGATGTGTGATCAACCAAAGGGTGGGAAGACATGCTATCACTGCTTCAACAGCTAACCAAGCTAACCATGGAGATTATCCCTACTCCCTTAATTTTGCTGCACACAGATGCCACAGTGATTTTCCTAGGTGCAAGTCTAACCAGATTACCCTGCTATTCTAAAGTTAAACTTTATTTAATCTTTTCCTCACCCTTTCAAAAATCATTTGTGTAAAATTCTATAATATTAAATAATTATTAACATAGCAGGCATCTGAGAAGCAGCCAGTAGAAAGAGACTGGAGATTAACAACAATGAGGATGATAAAGGGGTGAATCTGCTGGGTAAGATGAGATAATATGGAATCACTTGGACACATAATAAGGTTTGCCTTGGCAAGAAGTGCCACCTTTTTTTGGGGGGGGGAGAGAAATATATTTAGTATTTAATTTTTCCCTAGTTGCATGTGAAAAAAATTTTCAACATTTGTTTTAAAACTTTGAGTTCCAAATTTTCTCCCTTTCTTGCTCTCCTACCCTCCAATGAGAAGGCAAGCAATTCCACATAGGTTATATTATATGTAGTCATGCAAAACATATCCATCATGCTGTGAAAGAAAACACAGACAAAAAAAGTTTCAAGAAAAATAAAGTAAAAAAAAGCATGCCTCAATCTGTATTCAGACACCATCAGTTCTTTCTCTGGGGATGGTTAGCATTTTTCTTTCTTTCTTTTTTTTTTTTGTTAGGCAATGGGGTTAAGTGACTTGCCCAGGGTCACACAGCTAGTAAATGTCAAGGGTCTGAGACCAGATTTGAACTCAGGTCCTCCTGACTCCAGGGCCAAGACTCCATCCATTGCCCCACCTAGCTGCCCCATGGATAGCATTTTTCACCCTAAGTCCTTCAGAGTTGTTTTGGATCATTGTATTGTGAGAATAACTAAATCATTCACAGCTGATCATCTTACAATATTGTTGTTACTTTCTACCCAGTACATTTCACTTTGCATAAGCTCATGCAAGTCTTTCCAGGTTTTTCATCATTTCTTACAGTATAATAGTATTCCATCATAATTATATACTACAACTTGTTCAGCCATTCCCCAACTGATGGGTATCCCCCTAATTTCTAATTCTTTACTCCCAGAAAAGAGCTACTATAAATATTTTTGTACATATAGGTCCTTTTTTTTTTTCTTTTTATCTCTTTTGGGATATAGACCTAGTAGTGGTATTACTAGGTCAAAGGGTACACATGGTTTTATAGCCCTTTGGCATAGTTTCAAATTGCTCTATAGAATGGTTGAATCAGTTCACAACTCCACCAATAGTGCATTAAAGTCTCATTTTTCACACATCCCCTCCAACATCTGTCATTTATCTTTTCTGTCCTATTAGTCAATCTAATAGGTATGAGGTAGTACTTCAGAATTGTTTTAATTTGTTTGTCTCCAATCAATAGTGAGTTAGAATATTTCCTTCATATGGATATAGATAGCTTTGATTACTTCATCTGAAAACTGATTATATCTTTTGATCATTTGTCAACTGGGGAATGGCTCTTATTTTTATAAATTTGACACAGTTCTCTAGATGTTAGAGAAATGAGGCCTTTCTCAGAGAAACTGGATTTTTTTTCACGGTTACTAATGCTAACTAATTCCTCCATCCTACTCCCCTACCCCCATTTATTCTATTCTCCCTCCTTTCCCCCTGTCCTTCCTCAAAAGTGTTTTGTTTCTGACTACCCCCTCCACCAATCTGCCCTCCTTTCTATCACCCTACCCCCTTCCACTTTCACTTTCCTGTAAAGTAAGATAGATTTCTATACCCAATTGAGTGTGTATGTTATTCCCTCTCTGAGCCAATTCTGATGAGAGTAAGGTTCACTCACTTCACCCGTAGCTCCCCCTTCTTCCCCTCCATTGTAAAAGCTTTTTCTTGCCTCTTTTATGTAAGGTAATTTACCCCATTCTACCTCTCCCTTTTTCTCAGTACATTCTTCTCTCACCCCTTAATTTTAGTTTTTAGATACCATCCCATCATATTTAACTCACACCTGTGCTCTCTCCTTCTAACTACCCTAATAATGAGAAAGGTCCTATGAGTCACAAATATCATCTTCCAATGTAGGAATGTAAACAGTTTATCCTTATTAAGTCCCTTATGATTTCCCTTTTCTCTTTACCTTTTCATGCTTCTCTTGAATCTTGTATTTGAAAGTCAAAATTTCTATTCAGCTCTGGTCTTTTCATCAAGAATGCTTGAAAATCCTCTATCTCATTGAATGTCCATTTCCCCCCCTGAAGGATTATACTCAGTTTTGGTGAGTAGATGATTCTTGGTTGTAATCCTAGCTCCTTTGCCCTTTGGAGTATCATATTCCAAATCCTCAGATCCTTTAATGTAGAAGCTGCTAAGTCTTGTGTTATCCTGACTATGGTTCCACGATACTTGAATTGTTTCCTTCTGGCTGCTTGCAATATTTTCTCCTTGACCTGGGAACTCTGGAATTTGGCTATAATATTCCTGGGAGTTTTCATTCTGAGATCTCTTTCAGGTTGTGATCAGTAGATTCTTTCAAGTTCTATTTTACCCTCTGGTTCTAGAATATCTGGGCAGTTTTCCTTGGTAATTTCTTGAAAGATGATGTCTAGGCTCTTTTTTGATCATGGCTTTCTGGCAGTCCAATAATTTTTAAATTTTCTTTCCTGGATCTATTTTCCAGGTAAGTTTTTCCAGTGAGATAGTTCACATTCTTTTTTATTTGTTTTATTGCTTCTTGGTTTCTCTTAAAATCATTAGCTTCCATTTGCTCCATTCTAATTTTTAATTTAATTTTTTGGCAATTGGGGTTAAGTGACTTGCCCAGCGTCACACAGCTAGTTAGTCCATTGTAATTTTTAAGGAATTATTTTCTTCAGTGAGCTGTTGGACCTCCTTTGCCATGTGGCCAATTCTGCTTTTTAAAGCATTATTTTCTTCAGTATTTTTTTATGTCTCCCTCACCAAGTTGCTGACTCTTTTCTCATGATTTTCTTGCATCACTCTCACTTCTCTTCCCAATTTTTCCTCTACCTCTCTTACTTGATTTTCAAAATCCTTTTTGAGCTCTTCCATGGCCTGAAAGCAATTCCTATTTTTCTTGCAGCCTTTGGATGCAGGAGTTTTGACTTTGCTATCTTCTTCTGAGTATGTGTTTTGATCTTTCTTGTCACCGTAATAACTTTCTATAGTCAGTTTTTTTCCCCATTGTTTGCTCAT